GCTAAAACAGCTATACTTTCTGCAGGAGAGCTTTAATCACTAGAAGCTGGATCCAGGACCCAGTTTCAGGGTGGGAAGCGACAGCGAGACCCCAGCCAGGCTGCGGCGGCTAGGGGATGGAGTGCTGATGGCGATAGCTAGGGAGCGTGTTTGGCGGAGGTACCCAGTTGGGGTATCAGGCGGTCCGCCACGATTCCTAAAAATTATTTATATTTTGTCCTCAAAATTTTCAAATATTTTCTTTTCTTTGTTTATCAATTGCTTGCCTTCTCCATGCTGTGTCATAAGTAAATAGATGTTAAAGAAAAAGGTGCAAAAAGAAAATGTAATAAAAAGTGTCAGGAGGTTGTTGCATTGCAAAGAAGGTGCGAAAAAGACCCAGATCTATAAAAGGAGGAATAAACTTTTTTTTACTTTTAAATGACACATGCGCACAAGACCAGCACATTCATGAAAGCATACACGATTATTTTTATAACAAAACACCTACAAACTCTCCAAAAATGAGCCGTTAATTAAATCAGCAGTTGAGTCTATTTCCAGGGACGACAGATTTCACTGGAATATGTGAACACGGCTTATTCTGGACAATTCAGCAATTTCATATAATTATATGTGATACGATTCTTATTTATTTTTATTTTTTTAAATACACCTATATTTAAAATGTTCACTGTAGTTGCTGGGATGAGTATTCTATAAAACATGGCATACAGTCATGTGACAGTTCCTCTATACAATGTGATGAAATACACTACAACAAAAAGAATCCCCATCTACCGCGCTTCCTGTGACCTTTTATTTTCATTCAGCATAAAAAGCCGGATAAATCATTTTAAATTGCTTGAAACGTATTCCCTGCTGGGACATTGTCCTGGCACTTAATATTAGCTTTATTTGAAACCAATCTGGGAATCATTATGTGTCTATCTGGCACGCTATGAATACCTGATGTCTTACTGGCATCAATATACGACTATTCAAATAGCCTGCAAATAAAACGCATTTTATTATTCCACTCGCATCAAAGGTTCCGTTTTCAAACAGGTTCTTTAATCTTTTGCCTGCGGAATGAATAATCCTTCCCTTAGCAGGTGAACCCCCCTCCCACCCCCCACCCTAAAAAAGAAGTCCTGTAACTTGAAATCCATCTCTCCCAGATGTAGCATATACAGAGCGCTCACTGAGGAAATCTGGTATAATATCACTGACTAAACAGGAAACAAACTCACTGAACTCACAAGGGAAATGCGATTCATTAGGGCGGTTTAGGGTTATTCAGTTGCGCAGACTTTCTTGTGTAATACTTTTGGTGTATTTCATATTTACGTGATTGAATAAACTGTATTTTCTGGAAGGGGCTGCAAACTTGACATCACTACGTCACAGTCACACATTAATCACTCCAAAAGTCTAATGGCTCAAATCCCTCTGTCCCTCTTTTCTATCCGATTGACATTGCATATTGCTGCCTAGTTTGCTGTCTATAACAATTCCCAAATCCTTCTCGTGTGTGGCTATCCCTAATTCACTACCATTTAGGGTGTAAGTTGCTTGTGAATTCTTTACCCCGAAGTACATAACTTTGCATTTCTCTACGTTAACTTTCATAGCTTTCATTGAGTGCCCAGTCCCCCAAGCTATCTAAATCCCTCTGCAGCAAAGTAATATCCTGCTCACATTATTATTATTGCCATTTATAGCGCCAACAGATTCCGTAGCGCTTTAATGTATTATGAGAGGGGGGATTAAAGGATCACTATAAGGTCAGGAACACAAACATGTATTACTGACCCTATAGTGTTAAAACCACCATCTAGCCCCCCTTTGCCCCTCATGCCTCCATAAACATAGCAAAATCTTACTGTATTCAAGCCTGAAGCTGTAGATCTGCGTGCTGTTTGCCTAAAAAAAAAACAAGCAGTCTGCTGATATCATCAGAAGTGGTAGCCTGATCCAATCATACTGCTTCCCCATAGGATTGGCTGAGACTGACAAAGAGGCAGACCAGGGGCAGAGCCAGCACAATTCAAACACAGCCCTGGCCAATCAGGATCTCCTCATAGAGATGAATTGAATCAATGAATCTTTATGAGGAAAGTTCAGTGTCTGCAAGCAGAGGGAGGAGATACTGAATGTTTGGATACATTTTAGGCAGCATTGACCCAGGAAGGATCTCTAACAGCCATCTGAGGAGTGGCCAGTGAAGTTATCACTAGGCTGTAATGTAAACACTGCATTTTCCCTGAAAAGACAGTGTTTACAGCAAAAAGCCTGAAGGTAATGATTCTACTCACCAGAACAAATTCAATAAGCTGTAGTTGTTCTGGTGACTATAGTGTCCCTTTAAACTATAAATAGGACAATTACAAGAAAACATACAGGAACGATAGTTTGAAGACGACTCTGCTCAAACGAGCTTACAGTCTACATTGTATTACTTTACAGAGTTTTGTGTCATCTGCAAACACTGGAACATGACTTTCAAAGCTTTTTTCAAGATCATTTATAAACATGTTAAATAGAAGGGGTCCCAGAACGGAACCCTGAGGGACACCACTTGCCACCTCCGTCCAGCTTGAAAATGTACCATTAATGGCAACTCTCTGTGCTCTATCTTTAAGCCAATGTTCTACCCAAGAATATGTGTCTTTAAACTACAATAAATGTGTTTACAAATCAGTCTGTGTAAATAAGATACATTGTTCTTGTTCTAAATTACATTTTAGTTGAATAAATTGTTATTAGTAAAAAATTGGTAATATAAAATGTCTCCGTCTGGTCACACCCCACAGTTAAAATGACAGTGTCCATCTATGTCCTTTTTAAATGTAAGATAAGCAAATTCCCTCCCAGGACAAGCAACCTTCATTTTTGTAAATCATACAGTATCGGAAGCAGATTGGTGAGTAAGAGTTATTTATTGCATTATAAGTGGGATGTATTTCACCCCAGACTGATAAAATAAGAGGAAAGTAACAGCTGTGCATTCTTTGATTTAAAGTTCTCTTGATGTGTAATTTCCTTGTTTCTTTGCCCCTATGGACGCTACCGGAGCATTTAGTGGGGCGCTACCGGAGCATTTAGTGGGGATTGTAAAGCGGTAGGTGAAACAAACAGGTTGGCAACTTAATGTAGTACCATGTAAAAAAAATAAAAATAAAAAAAAACTTTGGACAAATTAAAACTACTGAAAAATGTAGCACAATAAAAGCACAAATATTTAGTACAATAAAAGTTAGCTATTGGATTGTACAGAAATCTGAGTAATGACATGTATGCAATATGGGTAGAACTAAGTTTTCCATATTGTAAATAGTGTATTTGATATGGACATCAAAATCACATTATTCCTTTCTTCTTCAAATAAATACAGAGTGCGGTTTGATTCACTAGAGGACAAGATTTTAAGCCAAACTGATTGAGAGATAGAAGTCCCAAATTTCCTCCTGTAAGTAGTGTAAAAGCATTTGTCTTTTAAAACGGTTCAAACTTGTAGTTTTAAGCATTAAAACGTTTTAAGAATTTATACTTAAACTAGTGCACAAAAAATGTTTGAAAAATAAAATCCACCATATGGAATCAGACTAAATGAGGTAAAACATACCTCCCAAATGTTCCATATCTGACAGGACAGTCCTGATTAGGTATTATGACTCTGTCATCTCAGAAGCAACATGGAAAATGTACAAAAACACATAGCACAAGCAATTCAGCAAAATTGTTGTAGTTATAGGAGATTTGTGGGCATTCACGACCAAATATCCAAAGTGCTCTTTATGCAGGAAGCCCCCGTTGCCACTTCTTCTCACTTCCACACCTCTATCCTCAGTATGACACCTTGCAATATCGGAAGATATGAAAACAGATAATGCTCTTAGCCAATCAGCGGCTTAACTGCCCAAAGCTGACTGAGCCTTCAGTTATGAAGAATTTCAGAAATCGGAAGGAAAAGGGGCAGAACAATACCGCACTCTTGCACAGACTTTACCGCACTCTTGCACAAACTGTTCATTAATGGTTTAATCTCTAAAGGAAAGCAAGCAACAGGGATCTCCAGTCACTATAACAATTTAATTTCACTTAAATATTATTTTTATATAGCATTGTGAATGTGTTTTATTTATTTATGTTATGGAGCTCACGTACTCCAATTGAGTACCTCCACCAATCCGCTTCCTTGCTGCCACAGGGGACTCTGGAACACTTCAGACCCAGTTGCAATAGCTTGACTTGGATATCTGCAGAGCTGTTACAGCCGAGCAGGCTGCAGCTCTCTCCTTCCAGGCAGGTATTGTCTCTTCTGCCTAGTCCTCTGCTGCTCTCTTTCCAGGCATGTATCCCCACCTCTGCCTGGAATATAATTAGCTCCTGTCTTTATAAAGGCACTAGTGGCTCTCAGGCCAAAATACTTTGACTTTGTCCCATTCAGCCGTGCAATAGGTCCGAAGACTCGGTCATCGGGATCTCTGAACAAATTAGACACAGAAAAGGAACTATCATAGCAATTCTTTATTTTTGGACAAGGATTAGCCTTTGGGGACAAGTCCTTAAACATTTGGTGACAAACCTTTAAAATACAAATATATAGCACACTGGAGAATGAACAAATATACTTAATACATGAACTATAAAATACAAGTAACATTTTTAAACACACTAAAAAGCAACAATATATACATTAAACGGTGTATTTGGTTGCCCTAATTTGCATATCAGCGTTATGTAAATGTCATCTTCCATTCAGCCAGCAGAGGGTGCTGTAGAGTTATCAAGTAATAATGAATAGTTTGTTTTTCAATTGCTATTATCACAAGCCCCTCTCAGGGGCTCTTGGACTAGGTCCATAGTCTGTGGGCAAGAGGCCGGAGGCCTTTAAGCCTCTCCAAAAGGCCATGGCATGGAGCTTATGTCACCATTTAAATTAAATGGTTATAGTGCCCAAAGTGTTCCTTTAAAATGTGAATTCTTGGTAATTCATCAGGCAATTACAAATGTAAGTCCAACATTTCTGAGTTGCATAATATTCTCCAAGTGACTTATGTTTATAGTTCTGCTATTTTTTCTAAAATGTTAAATCCACAAAAGATTGCACAGTATTTCCCAGCATAGTACATAAACCTGAAGAATGAAAACATATTCTAAATACTGCTCAACAGGTGGTAAATGTGTGTTTAACTACGACACCCAGAAAAACAGGTGTGTTAAAACATCATATGTATTTAGCAGCATGTAATAGTTTTACTGAAAGTATTGCTTGTTTAAACAGGCAGTAAAACATGTAGCAGTGGAATGACACCCTAAGTTTAGTGTGATTATTCCAGGAGCTAGTTCACCAAAAAGGCTTTTGAATATGATGTCACTAATATTGAGGTTATAATAAAATTGAAGTTATAATAAAATTAAAATTGAGTGTGATAATACCAATATTAAATTAAATCAAATAGATCAAGCAATTCAGGAGAGAGGTGCAGCAAAAATGTATGGTGTGTACGTCTTTAAATCTGCTAAGAGCAGAATAAATGAAGTATCCACCAGATGTTGTACTTTATAGAAAAAGATATAAACCATATAGAATAGAAATGCAGTATATGGAACTGTTTTCTTTAGTGCAATAAAAATAGGTATCGCTAAAAAACCACTTTAAGAAAATGAATAGAAAAAAGTGGATAAAGATGACAAGAAGTTTATTAACAAAAAATATATTAAGACTATAAAAAATACAAGCCAGGAACGGTATGCAAGAATATTACCAGCAAAGTAGTAGTCCTTATACTGGATTAGCCACAGGGACCGGCTAGGATTGATGTGGATAGTTTGTAACAAAAACGATCTCTCTAGCTGTCGGCTGCCGGTGAGGTTAGCGTGCATCTCAGACCTCACTCTGAGAGCTGAACGCTATGAGCCAATCGGTCCCAAGATCGTGAAAGGTTTTCAGTACAAATGAGGCTCCTACTGCTTGATTAATCTCAGTCTGACGCGTTTCGTGGGTGTCAGTCCCACTTCTTCAGAGACGGAATAGAGCTTGATATTTCAGCGGTGGTTTAAATATGCATCTTACTAATTGCCAATAAATTACAATTGCTACATACATCAATTCATTAAAATAACATACATTAATTAAATGATAATCGTTAGACAGTGAAAACATTAATAATATAAAATGCAGTAAACGAAAATAATATGAGAATAATATGCTGATTTTTAAAATTCTGTGGTTTCAATTTGGGATACCTAAAAATTAATACTCTGCTGCTCCATAAAATAACATGCTACAAACGATGATTATTATGTTATATGAAATCAGATACAAATAACACAAGAGGAATTACAAATGATTAAAATTAATTAGAATTAGATTTCGTTATTAAGCTGAGTTCAAGACCGGGCATAAGAGATAAAAAAAGGGAAGTAAAAAATGTAAAATAACATTATGAATACCAATATAAATATAAATATAAACAAATAAATATAGATCTAATACGTATGTGCCAAGTTGGAATCATGTAGATATATGATTGTACAGTGCAACTTAGTGCAATGAGTCATATGTGAGTGAATAGAAATGTATGCGTGTGTGTGGATATACTGATTGTATTACAATCGTGTCTGATGTAATATATGGAGAGCAAAAAATGGGTCGCAAGAGTATTCTGAGGACGGACAGCAGCTAAAATAGCCTGCCCTTCGGTGGGTCCCCGCTCAGAACTCAAGCTGGTTTTAGCTCAACTTGTGCCATTACAGAGAGAACATATCTGAAGCATATCAGACTGGTCCCACCCATACGGGCAGTCCAGATCCGAAATGCCAGCAAGTTCTCTCTGCACGAGAGATACAGCAACCCCAGACGATCGTTTCAGCCTTGTTAGGCATCATCAGTGAGGCATAGCTGATATCTCTCTAGGCACCGTGAGCAAGGGGTCCACGTCTGGATTACCCTTTAAACTAATGGAGAGCAAAAAATGGGTCGCAAGAGTATTCTGAGAACGGACAGCAGCTAAAATAGCCTGCCCTTCGGTGGGTCCCCGCTCAGAACTCAAGCTGGTTTTAGCTCAACTTGTGCCATTACAGAGAGAACATATCTGAAGCATATCAGACTGGTCCCACCCATACGGGCAGTCCAGATCCGAAATGCCAGCAAGTTCTCTCTGCACGAGAGATACATCAACCCCAGACGATCATTTCAGCCTTGTTAGGCATCATCAGTGAGGCATAGCTGATATCTCTCTAGGCACCGTGAGCAAGGGGTCCACGTCTGGATTACCCTTTAAACTAATGGAGAGCAAAAAATGGGTCTCAATAGCCTTCCCTAAAATAGCCTGCCCTTCGGTGGGTCCCCGCTCAGAACTCAAGCTGGTTTTAGCTCAACTTGTGCCATTACAGAGAGAACATATCTGAAACATATCAGACTGGTCCCACCCATACGGGCAGTCCAGACCCGAAATGCCAGCAAGTTCTCTCTGCACGAGAGATACAGCAACCCCAGACGATCGTTTCAGCCTTGTTAGGCATCGTCAGTGAGGCATAGCTGATATCTCTCTAGGCACCGTGAGCAAGGTGTCCACGTCTGGATTACCCTTTAAACTAATGGAGAGCAAAAAATTGGTCGCAAAAGTATTCTGAGAACAGACAGCAGCTAAATAGCCTGCCCTTCGGTGGGTCCCCGCTCAGAACTCAAGCTGGTTTTAGCTCATCTTGTGCCATTACAGAGAGAACATATCTGAAGCATATCAGACTGGTGCCACCCATATGGGCAGTCCAGATCCGAAATGCCAGCAAGTTCTCTCTGCACGACGATCGTTTCAGCCTTGTTAGGCATCATCAGTGAGGCATAGCTGATATCTCTCTAGGCACCGTGAGCAAAGGGGTCCGCGTCCTGGATTACCCTTTAAACTAATGGAGAGCAAAAAATGGGTCGCAAGAGTATTCTGAGGATGGACAGCAGCTAAAATAGCCTGCCCTTTGGTGGGTCCCCGCTCAGAACTCAAGCTGGTTTTAGCTCAACTTGTGCCATTACAGAGAGAACATATCTGAAGTATATCAGACTGGTCCCACCCATACGGGCAGTCCAGATCCGAAATGCCAGCAAGTTCTCTCCGAGAGATACAGCAACCCCAGACGATCGTTTCAGCCTTGTTAGGCATCGTCAGTGAGGCATAGCTGATATCTCTCTAGGCACCTAGAGAGATACCAGCTATGCCTCACTGATGATGCCTAACAAGGCTGAAACGATCGCCTGGGGTTGCTGTATCTCTCGTGCAGAGAGAACTTGCTGGCATTTCGGATCTGGACTGCCCGTATGGGTGGGACCAGTCTGATATGCTTCAGATATGTTCTCTCTGTAATGGCACAAGCTGAGCTAAAACCAGCTTGAGTTCTGAGCGGGGACCCACCGAAGGGCAGGCTATTTTAGCTGCTGTCCGTTCTCAGAATACTCTTGCGACCCATTTTTGCTCTCCATTAGTTTAAAGGGTAATCCAGACGTGGACCCCTTGCTCACGGTGCCTAGAGAGATACCAGCTATGCCTCACTGACGATGCCTAACAAGGCTGAAACGATCGTCTGGGGTTGCTGTATCTCTCGTGCAGAGAGAACTTGCTGGCATTTCGGATCTGGACTGCCCGTATGGGTGGGACCAGTCTGATATGCTTCAGATATATTCTCTCTGTAATGGCACAAGTTGAGCTAAAACCAGCTTGAGTTCTGAGCGGGGACCCACCGAAGGGCAGGCTATTTTAGCGGCTGTCTGTTCTCAGAATACTCTTGCGACCCATTTTTGCTCTCCATTAGTTTAAAGGGTAATCCAGACATGGACCCCTTGCTCACGGTGCCTAGAGAGATACCAGCTATGCCTCACTGATGATGCCTAACAAGGCTGAAACGATCGTCTGGGGTTGCTGTATCTCTCGTGCAGAGAGAACTTGCTGGCATTTCGGATCTGGACTGCCCGTATGGGTGGGACCAGTCTGATATGCTTCAGATATGTTCTCTCTGTAATGGCACAAGTTGAGCTAAAACCAGCTTGAGTCCTGAGCGGGGACCCACCGAAGAGCAGGCTATTTTAGCGGCTGTCTGTTCTCAGAATACTCTTGCGACCCATTTTTGCTCTCCATTAGTTTAAAGGGTAATCCAGACGTGGACCCCTTGCTCACGGTGCCTAGAGAGATACCAGCTATGCCTCACTGATGATGCCTAACAAGGCTGAAACGATCGTCTGGGGTTGCTGTATCTCTCGTGCAGAGAGAACTTGCTGGCATTTCGGATCTGGACTGCCCGTATGGGTGGGACCAGTCTGATATGCTTCAGATATGTTCTCTCTGTAATGGCACAAGTTGAGCTAAAACCAGCTTGAGTCCTGAGCGGGGACCCACCGAAGAGCAGGCTATTTTAGCGGCTGTCTGTTCTCAGAATACTCTTGCGACCCATTTTTGCTCTCCATTAGTTTAAAGGGTAATCCAGACGTGGACCCCTTGCTCACAGTGCCTAGAGAGATACCAGCTATGCCTCACTGATGATGCCTAACAAGGCTGAAACGATCGTCTGGGGTTGCTGTATCTCTCGTGCAGAGAGAACTTGCTGGCATTTCGGATCTGGACTGCCCGTATGGGTGGGACCAGTCTGATATGCTTCAGATATGTTCTCTCTGTAATGGCACAAGTTGAGCTAAAACCAGCTTGAGTTCTGAGCGGGGACCCACCGAAGGGCAGGCTATTTTAGCGGCTGTCTGTTCTCAGAATACTCTTGCGACCCATTTTTGCTCTCCTGATGTAATATATGAATCATTAAATAAATAAATAGTCTGAGGTCTAAATACACAGATTTGTGTCATGGTGTTACAGTGTATCGTTTATTTAATACAATGTTACCATTAAAGTGATCTTATCGTAATCGTTATATAATACATGCTTGGTATTAGGAGAGAACGGAATAGTGGAAGTATTTCCCATATTTTGCTTAATGTGGTCCTAATGTTATTGTTAATAGAAAGGGCCATTAGGAGAAATATTCCTGGAGGTTAGAAGGGAACACTGAGGTATAAAATGAGAATAAAAGATGAAAAATAGAAATCACGTGTTATCGTATTATACATCGAATGGGCGTAATAGTTCATTGTTATTATCCTTTTCGGATTCTTCCTGAAACATAAATAAACATATATAAACATATATGGGACACATATGAAATTATAACCTATCATTAAAATGAATATTAGAAGTAGACCTCTGATGTATGGTGTATAGTATATACGTGTCTAAAAAAGAATGAGATTGGAATATGTGCATAAAACTAGAAATGAGTTATAGATATAAATATAAATGTGAATGCATAAAACATCTATAGAAGAGAGAGTGTTACAGAAAATTAGCTCTAATGATTATGAAATATATAGATGAAACAAAAATAGTGTAAAGTACAGAAATTGTGAATGATTAGAAGAAATAATGTCTGTGTTAAAAAATTATTAGTTGCAAGAGGAAATAAGTGTTGTGAATGATTAGAAGAAATAGTGTCTGTATTAGAAAAATACAGCTGCAAAAGAAAAAAAAAACATTAAGAAACACATGTGCATAAAAATATACACTAGGATAAAAGAGCCGTAAGATATTCTATAAAAAAGGCATTCTATAAAAAAGCATTGAGCTCAAAGTCTAGACATCTTGCTTCAGTCTGATCCAGGTTTCTTTCCATATCACCTCCTCTCCAATGAACGTTCACTTTCTCAATAGGTAGAAATTTCAGTCCCGTGGGATCTCCTCCGTGGAATTCCTGAAAATGTTTAGAAAGATTATGTGTTTGGAGTCCCCATTTTGATGTTTCGGATATGTTCCGCTATTCTGGTTTTCAATGGTCCTTTTGTTCATCCCACATACTGTTTGGGGCAGGGACAAGTGATAAGGTAGATGACTCCTGTTGTATCACAACTCATGTTAGTCTTCAAATTATATTCTTCCATACTGTTCATAGATGTGAATTTTGTGATTTCAAAATCCAGGGAGGGGTTGTTCTTGCATGCCATGCATTTCTTGCACCTTCTAAAGCCTTTAATTGCTGTTTTGTCCTGGATGTTACTGGAAGATTTAAGGGTCGGGCCAGCATGAGTTGTAGATTGGGTGCCTTGGTGAAGATGATTTGTGGTTTGGGGTTAAGAATTTCCATAAGAGTAGAGTCATTCCTAAGGATATTCCAATGTTTCTTTAAGATTTTCTATATAGTACGGGATTGGTGATTGAATTTCGTTATAAAAGCAGATGCTGATTTGTACGCCTCAGTGGTCTTAGTCTTGTTTTTTAGAGTGTCCTCTCTTGGGATGGCCAAGGCTTTCTTTTTAGCTTTAGTCAGTAATGTTGTGGGATATCCTTTATCTAGGAATCTCTGTTGCATTTCTTCCATCTGTTCTTCACATTCTTCCATTTTTGAACTGTTTCATCTGATCCTCCGAAATTGGTTGTGTGGTATGTTCTTGAGCCAAGTCTGCTTATGGTGGCTATTAAAAGGGATAAAACTATTACAATCAACAGGTTTCTTAAAAGTCTTGGTGTGTATTCTATTTTCTTCAATGTAGATATTAAAGTCTAAGAACTCGATTTGTTCTTGGGAGTGGTTAAAAGTAAATCTAATATTATATGGATTGGTATTGAGGTAGATTTTAAATAGTTCTAGGGATTCTAGGTCCCCTTTCCAAATAAAAAAGCAGTTGTCTATGCATCTTCACCACAGGGACAGATTTGCGCCAAAGGGGCAGTGGTTCCATATAAATTCTTCTTCCCATTTGCCCATAAACAGATTTGCATAACTTGGCGCAAATCGTGTCCCCATGGCCGTGCCTTCTATTTGTAGATAGAATTGATCATCACTCCAAAAGTAGTTGTGGGTGAGAATAAAAACAATACATTGGATTAAAAAATCAATTTGGTAATTTTTTAGTTCTGAGTATACTGCTAAAGAGTATTGTATTGCCTCACATCCTTGTAGGTGTTCTATCACCGTATAAAGTGAAGTGACGTCTGCTGTAACTAAAAACATATCTTCTGTCCAATTAAAATCAAATAAAAGGTTTAAAATATGCGTAGAGTCTCTCAAGTATGATTTGCGGCAGGGTACCATCTTTTGTAGATATTGGTCAACATATTCAGAGAGATTGGCAGTGAGGGATCCAATTCCAGAGATAATCGGTCTTCCCGGCGGTTTTGTCAGTTGCTTATGAATTTTAGGTAGATGATAGAAGACTGGTATCCTTGGAAATTGTGTAAATAGGTATTTGAATTCCCTGTCATTAATGATACCTCTATCCTTCCCCTGGTCGAGTATTTCTCTCAGTCTCTCCTTAAATTGTGAAGTGGGATCTTGTTCAAGTTTACGGTAGGTACAGGTATCTCCCAATAATCTCTGATTTTCTTCCATATAATCCTCTGTGTTGAGGATGACTAATCCGCCTCCTTTGTCTGCTGCTTTAATTGTTATATCTCCCAATTTCATAAGCTGTTTAAGTGAATTTCTCTCCCTTTTTGTTAAATTATCTTTTTTTATCTTGTTGGTAATCTTCCTTCGGAAATCTTTCTCCACCATCTTCTCAAACACTTTGATTGAATCAGTCTTGATGTGCTGTGGGTAAAATGTAGAAGTAGAGTATAATCCTGTGTGTACATAGTCTTGTGTTGTGTCGGGTTGTATCTTGTCCTTATCTGCAAAGAATTTCTTGATAGAGACTTTCCGTATGAATTTGTGCAAATCTATGCACACATTAAAATTAGAGTTATTAGAAGTAGGTGCAAACTTTAGACCCTTTCTCAGGAGTGATATTTCATCTGAATTAAGGGTTCTGGTAGATAGATTAAAAATATGTATTTCCTCTTTTTCTGCTGTATTGGGTCTTCTTGTTGTTCTGTTTCTTCTTCTATTTCTCTTATTGTTCTTTTCTTCCTCACGTCTGGGGACCTGAAGTCTTCCATCATGAATTTCTTGGGGTGGATTCTCCCCCGTTTCTCTAAAGATTGTTCTCCACATATGTGTTGGAGGTAGATTGATGGGTCTTGTTATCCTTAGGGGCCATACTGGTAGAGTCAGTCCTTTTATGATCTGGAGAAAAGGTTCTTAGATCTGGGGTGCGCTGATGTGGGTGGTCACGTGATCTCCAATTCTTGTTTTGGTATGGATATGTTCTGGGCCTTGATGGTACTTTCCCTGATAAGTATGTCTCGTCTGCATGTGATGATGGGGTTGGGACTGCCGATAATTTCTGTGTTCGTACCTCCTATTAGAAGTTGGTCTATTCTGTGTCCAGTTGGTTGTGGAATTCTTTATGGGACTTCTTTGAGAGACTAAAGCATCTCTGTCGGTCATGTGTTGTTGGGGTCTATGTTCCGTTCCATGCCTCATAGGAGAATTATATCTCTGTCTCAGGTCTTTCTTCCAGTTCCTCTGTGTCTGTGTTTTATAATCAGCCTGATCTATCATAATTTTCTTCCTTTTGTTTTCCCTGATGTTTGTCTCAATGTTTTTAACTCTTCTTTCCATTTTCTCTAAAAGTTCCACATATTCCCCATTCTCCACTAGAGGGTGTATAGAAGTTTAGAGTTCTGTTATCTCTGAGTCGAATTGGGTAAGATCCTTCTTCTTTTCGTTAATGAGGAATACCATTAATAGTAGGGAGCCTTTATCGAGGAGTTGCTCCCATTTCTTTAATAATGTTAAATCATGACGTTTATAAGTTGATCGTTTAAACAGTCTTAGCCCTCTAATATTAGATCCCTCATGTATCAACTAGGCAAATTAATGGAGAGAGAGGTACAGGTATGGTGGGATATAGCGGCCCTGGACTTCTATGTAAATAATAACATAGTACCAAGAGGGCTAAGACTGTTTAAACAATCAATTTATAAACGTCATGATTTAACATTATTAAAGAAATGGTATTACTATTAATGGTATTCCTCATTAACGAAAAGGAGAAGGATCTGGAAGAGAGACCTGAGACAGAGATATAATTCTCCTATGAGGCATCAGGGAAAGTACCAATAATGAAATCTAATAATAATGAAATCTAATCCTAATTAATTTTAATCATTTGTAATTCCTCTTGTGTTATTTGTATCTGATTTCATATAACATAATAATCATCGTTTGTAGCATGTTATTTTATGGAGCAGCAGAGTATAAATTTTTAGGTATCCCAAATTGAAACCACTGAATTTTAAAAATCAGCATATTATTCTCATATTATTTTCGTTTACTACATTTTATATTGTTAATGTTTTCACTGTCTAACAATAATCATTTAATTAATGTATGTTATTTTAATGAATTGATGTATGTAGCAATTGTAATTTATTGGCAATTAGTCAGATGCATATTTAAACCACCGCTGAAACATCAAGCTCTATTCCGTCTCTGAAGAAGTGGGGCTGACACCCACGAAACGCGTCAGACTGAGATTAATCAAGCAGGATACGGACGCAGTCTTTGATCCAGCAGTAGGAGCCTCATTTCTACCGAAAACCTTTCACGATCTTGGGATCGATTGGCTCATAGCGTTCAGCTCTCAGAGTGAGGTCTGAGACGCACGCTAACCTCACCGGCAGCCGACAGCTAGAGAGATCGTTTTTGGTACAAACTATCCACATCAATCCTAGCCGGTCCCTGTGGCTAAGCCAGAATAAGTACTACTACTTTGCTGGTAATATTCTTGCATACCGTTCCTGGCTTGTATTTTTTATATTCTTAATATATATTTTTGTTAATAAACTTCTTGTCATCTTTATCCACTTTTTTCTATTCATTTTCTTAAAGTGTTTTTTAGCGATACCTACTTTTATTGCACTAAAGAAAACAGTTCCATATACTGCATTTCTATTCTATATGGTTTATATCTTTTTCTTTAAAGTACAACATCTGGTAGATACTTCATTTATTCTGCTCTTAGCAGATTTAAAGACGTACACACCATACATATTTGCTGCACCTTTCTCCTGAATTGCTTGATCTATTTGATTTAATTTTAATATTGGTATTATCACACTCAATTTTAATTTTATTATAACTAATAATAATAATATTAGTGACATCATATTCAAAAGCCTTTTTGGTGAACTAGCTCCTGGAATAATCACACCAAACTTAGGGTGTCATTTCCACTACTACATTTCTTTAGACAGGTTTTTGGTGAACTCCTGTCTGTATCCAGTTTTGAGCATTATACCACAAGTCCGACTCCCTCATCTCTGTGTGTTGCAACAGGCATACCAGACCAATATGAAATGCAAATACAGAGTCTAAGTGAGTGACCCCCAACACTGACCAAGTGGCTCAAAACACCTATGTGGTAACCTCTCTAGCCACATAAATCTAGAATAAATGCATACATACAGAATAGGTGGAGTGTCTTGGGTACAAAGAAGTACATCATCATATTTTTCTATTAAAAGAAGTATTGTCTTCCCATACATTTTGATGTGGGCACTCTTCCTTTGTAAGACTACCAAGGAACGCAGATACAGCTGTTACATCTAAAGGGAGTGGGATCCCTTCAAACTATCCCACAGGCGTCCAGACTGTGCCATTATTCTTTGGCTCTCCACTTGTGAGTACTGAATCATACAATTTGCATTGAGCCATTTATGTACTGTATGATACTGCACTAAATGCTTGTCAATATCTTTGTCTTTTTAGCTATACCACTGTACTTCTTTGTACCCACGAACCAAGACACTCCACCTATTCTGTATGTATGCATTTATACCAGACCAATATACCTCAGGCAGTAAAACATGTAGTGGGTTATGTGACTTTATAATCTTATTTTATTTTATTTTTCAAAAGCTTTATACAGGGTTTTTCACTAAACGTAAGAATTGTCAGGATTTCAAAGAGACAATCCCACTTAAGTAAATAATCCGAACATCATCAACGTGATTTTAAAACTTGGAATCAACAATAGGAGAAGGAAAAATTAAGATTGTTTGACATTTATCTGCATTTCCATTTTTATCTCTTTAAATATTCTTAGAGAATCAAACAGTAACATCTGTAGATTGAAATAAAAAAAATGGCAAGTTTTAAATCTTCAATGACTAATGACGTAAAAAGCATGTCTTCATATTATGGGATTGTCATAACTCCTGGTCATATGAAGTGGTTACTGACCATAAGATTGGACCTCACAGTCAACCAACTAAAGATGGCAATTCAAAGATACTTTTAAATTTTAGATCAGGAGTTCCCAACCCAGTACTCCGTTACCCCTTACCACTCCAGGATTTAGAGATTACCCTGTTGGGTCTAACATGTTGTTTTTTTTGTTTTTGTTTTCTAAAAAACACCTTAGACACAACTGGGTAATCCCTAAATTGGGGACTGGGTTGGGAACCACTGTTTTACATCAAAACCGCCGAACCTAAAACATAGCTGATTGGAACATCTTTGCCTATTTTGGCCCAAGTTTTGAAATTCACTTTGAACTCTCAACAACCGACGAATAACACTGTAACTAATTAAGAATATTTCATAATTAATACCAGTAACAATTAATTACATTTCCAAAATATTTTATCTCACCAATCTGAATTAATATGCCTCGTTAATACCACCCAATCTTGTGTAAAAAACCTTTAGCTATTTCTGTAAAAAACAACAACAAAAAACCATTACATCAAAAGTCACCTTTGATTTAAATATTTGATTATTAGCACTTTATAGGATACTTAGTTAATACAATATCGGCAAATTACACGAGGATGTCAGATAAGTGGGTCGATAAATCTAAAATTCTATTTTGGAATGTGCAGCAAAGACTTTCTTATCCCAAGGCATATTAACTGCCTTAGATATTTTATATGAGTCATTCTTAATATCTTAGATATCTGTCAAAAGGCTGCATGAGCTAGGCTAAACTGTTTTAGATAAAAGCCATAGCTATCATCTGCTTGCTTGACACATCATTAGGCATGTTTTCAGTAAAAAGCAAGGGAATGAATACAATTTGATGTTTCCTGCAATGGAATGTGACATTTACAAGTCAAGGGAGCTCTGTCCTAATTATATTTTCCTATAAGTTTAATTTCTCAGAAAGCGTGTCCTATTAATTTAGGGGTTTTACATCTGTACCTTTGATCACAGATCTGGATGGCATTCAGCGGCAAAAAATATATATATAAAAAACTGTGTATACGCACAACTCATATTCCCTAACAAGAGAAACGTTCCTTGCAGGCACATGATTATATATATATAATTGGTTAT